GATATTCAAGGAAGACATACTGCTTCTGCCTGCTGTATCTTTATAGATTAAAAAAAGTTAATAGTTGATCTATTATCAGTGGTTCTCAACCTCGGGGTGAATTTGCCCCAAGGGAACACTTGGCAACGTTTGGAGACATTTTTGGTTGTCATAAAGTGGGGGTCGCGTCTGGCAGGCAGAGGCCAGGACTGCTGCTAAAATTCCTCCAAGCACGCGACAGCCTCCCACAACAAAGAACTGTCTGGCACAAAATGTCACCAGTGCTGAAGTGAAGAAGCCACAATGGCCTAAAAGAAAATGCTGACAATCACATCCTTTATATCGTTGATGAATTATCAGTCACAGAAAACTGGTGTTATGTTTATATTAAAACGAGTAAGTAAATAAACAAGTTTCACAGGTAACCCCTCTTGTTTTAAGTGGCGTAGCAGAGCTCCTGAGCTTGGCCCTGACGGAGACTCTGGACAGATATGGGGAGTTAGAGGAAGGTTTTGATCATTTAGGTAACCAGGCGAAAGCAGAGCAACTCAGCTCACAGATTATTAATGTGGAAGAGTAAGTCTGGGAGGGAAGGAACGTTACAAAAGGAATGTTTATTCAAGACAAAGAGATTGGGTTTTGTTGTATTTTGCCCCTTGTCTTGCCTGTGGCATCTGGATTACAGAGCGGGAGATTTCTACATGTATAAAGACAACATTCCCGTTTTGTTTTGTTTTACATTATCTGAGTAAATAATTCCTTACATCAGTTTTCTGGTAAGCCCTCAAATCTTTCTCCACAGATGTCCATCTTCAGTGACTAAATATTTTCATAATTGTATAGGAATCTTTAGCGGCTCTATCATCCTGTCCTTATCCTATGGAACAGGCTCCAACTTAACAACTCTTTAACTTAAGAAGTACATATCTGAGCTCATGGAGTATTTCTCAGTTAGTTTTATCACGATGGGGATACTCGACAGAAAGATTCTTAGGGGTAGACACCGTCTGATCCATCTCTTACCCTCAGAACCTAAAACCTAGCATGATATCCCGCTAGACATGGTGATGAGGAAATGGTGGTGGGAGGGGGTGTAGAAGGGAGACCCATTCGGGGCTAGAATCACCTTGCCCAAAGGTGTTGGTAGAGTGACACAAATCAGGATCTTAAAATGTTAATTTGATGAACAAAACCAATCTCCTTGGGAGATGGGTCCCAACGTCTACCAGAAAGAGATGCCGTTGGTCCAAGGGCTCCAACTTTTGCGTAAAGCGAGAGTATTCAGGCTTTGAAGACACCTGTGCCCCTCTTCTGGGGCTCCCAGGTGAGGCGGGGGTGGCAGGGAGCTGGGGGGCAAGCTGTCCGGCTGCCGGGAGGTCCTTCCTGTCTCCGAGACCACGGCCCGTTGCCCACCAGAGCCCTGGCAGCAGCTACATCTGTTCTGCTCTTTCTGCGGCTTCCTCTTCTCTCTTCAGACGAGCGTGGAAACCGCCTATCGAACAGGAGCAGCAGTGGGCCTGGACGTGCCTTCAGCTGTTTCCAGTTGCCTCCCAGGCCCCCTCTCCCCCAATCAATGGCACGTCGTAGAAGGTGTTTTACAGTTCCACTTGTTAATAGAACCAGAGGGCTCCGTAGCAAAACCTAACACAGCAATCAAGGTTAAAACACAAAATCACGTAATAGGAGTTAGAGAAACAGAAGGTCATCTCTAAAAGGAGTTGGACCGTCGAATTTTTAAAGTGCCTTCTAATTCTAAAATTCTAAGCTATGAAACAACATTTCCTCAAGGTTGAAGGATATGCTGCTTTGTACACGGGCTATTTCATTAGCGGAATTAGCTTGTCTTCATAGATTGTACTATAAACAAGTGAATGAATGAAAAAGGGATAATTGAATCTGCTCTTTGCCTCTGTCCCAGGGATTCAGGACTGAATGTCTGCAGAGCACTGTAGGACTCCTCACTATCATTATATTTGAAAGATAATGATCGTGGATAAGTGGTTGCAGGCGGCACTATCAGATAAAATATTTTTCTTTAGACTTTCATTAATGATGAACATTTTCTTCTTTTGAGGTGCGAAAAACAATTCTGAATGGAGAACAAGGTCTCAGTTTAACTTGCAAATATCAAAAAATTCACCCATCTTTTGTTACTTTGTGATTAATGTCAGTTAATTGCTGACAAGTTGCTATTGAGCTGATTTATGAGCTCAACAAGCAAAATAGTCAAGTGTAGTTGAATAGATCCGTGGCTACTGTTCACCGCCTTATTCAGGGTGGGTGAGAGGAGAGAAAGGTGTGGGTGCAAGCAGTGCTTTCCCACCTTCTCAGTAAAAACAAGAAGGAATAAAGACTGCTTAGAGCCTCTTCCGCAATTATTTTCCCTCCTGTTTACGTCATTGCCGCCTGTAGTATTAGAAAATGACCACTAGGTGGCACCATCTCATCAGTGTTCTTTTTCATCAGCAGGAGGAAGCCTGCCGGGCCTTTCGGATCATGAAATACAATTACAGTTAATGTGTTTGCTGATTTTGACTTAGAGAAAGCTTTCTGCTCTCTCCACACTTCCCTGGATTTGTCTATCTTTCTTCTTTCCTGTGTTTTTCCTTGGTTCTTGGGAATCTGAGTCAATACCTAGGGATAGGTACGGAGTTGATGACCACCATGGTGCTAATAACCATAACAGAAAACTTAAAAGTAGAGAAACACTGATAGTGACCTTCTATTGAAGGCTTATTATGTGTTAAGGGCTTTCCGGTATTATTTACAAGACTCACAGCAACTCTGTAGGCTTGTCTTCATCTTATGAACAAAGAAAGAAGGTTCAGAGAACTGAAGCAACTTCCCCTAGGATACCCAACAAGGAGGTAAAGAGGCCCAGCATGAATCCAAGTTTATGTAATGTCAGGGCATTACTGATCTTTGGATCATTCACGGAACTTGAATATTGGAAATAGTGAGAAAAAAAAAAACAGGAGTCCAGCCTTTGTGAAGTTCATAATCTAGAAGAGGATATAGAGTAAAAATAAAGGGGGGTTGGGGGGGAGAGTAAAATTAAAGGAAATAGAGCAAATTATCTGTAACACAATATATATATACATATATATATGTATATATATATGACATTTATAAGACCATAAATTTATAAAGGGTATGAGATTATCAAGAACACTTACCAGGTGTCAGAGTCAAGAAGACAACCTGAAATCGATTCTTCTCTTGGAGTAGAATATTACTGTAGGGGAGAGTTCTGAAGACAGAGTGGTAAGGGCAGGATAAAGAGCAGTTATTCTTGGGTTTAACTCTCAGACTCATGAATCCTTATTGTTAATGGTGTTTTTGTTTTTGTTTTTTTGTTTTTTCCGTGACACTCGAATTTGCTGTACGTCCTCAGAGGTGATGTCTCAGCTAGAGCTCTATATATAGGTGAAGGAGACCTAAGTAAAATGTTTTGAGGGTTAAAAAACCCAAATATTCCAGGTTATTTATCCCATAGAACCATGAGAACAGCAAGAGCCAGGAATCTCATAATACAAAACTAAGTGAATGTTTATTTGCTGGGGGCTGGGACTTCCCACCTGGTACCTTGCATGTATCATTGAATTTAATCTTAACACAACCCCATAAGATGTGCTTTAAATTAGTATTCCCTCAGGATGTCAAGCTTAGGCAGGTTGTGTAATTCACCAGAAAGCACACAGCTAGCAAGTGGTGATGCTGGGATTCCATCCAAATTGGCAGATCAAAGAACCCGGATTTTAACCTTTAAATACAGTGCTTCCATTTAACATGCTACATGGCAGTGAGCAAATGCTCTGGCCGTGGTAATCCTAACTTAAATTTGATTTATAAGTTTCAGAGAACTTTCAGTTATGTTATTAGATTTGAGGCTAGCAACAATCCAACGAGAAAGACCGTTCAGATTTTCTTACCATGTCTTTCCCTCCCCCTTCCCTTCCTGCCCCTGCTGACAGACACACATGCCCCGACCAGAGAGTTTAGTAACCTGGGTTAAGTCACAGGGCTACTAAGTGGCAGTCGCTGGACTCGAACCCGAAGTTCTCATCTTTAGACCATTGCCTTTCTCCTGCAATAGCAGCATCCCTTTATAGTAAATAATACATTATTAGGTAAAAGTTCTGCCATTGGCATTCAGAATACACTATCTCCAAGAACTTCTGCTAAAAGTCAAACATGCTATTTAGGAAAAACTGTATGAACATCAAATAATACATAAAGGTATATATTTTAAACCATTTAAAACTCCCTACAAAGGACGAAGAATCTAAAATGCGTTTTCAAATATTTTACATAAATGATTTGAGAGACATATGCAATGATTCATTTAACTATTTAGAATCAACATCTGTGTTTTTTGTGTGTCATAGAGAGATTTGTACTTTATTAAGACAAACAGAACACAATAGAGGCATAAAGATAAGAACTCTGTTCAGATACAGTCTAAGAGATTGCTGTGAGTATTTATACAGTCTCAGTCTCTCCAGTACCCTCTAAGACACAAAGTTCTGTGAACCCCAGTGGGGAGAGAATGGCCCAAAGGAAAGGGCCTGAGGGTAGTCGTCGATGGGTGTGGAGTGAACAGGGGAAGGATATGACATAGTCACTGCACCACTCTGGACGCCAGCTCCTCGCCTCTAACAGGAGGACCTCTAAGGACCAGAAGACCTCTAAGATCCCTATAACACTAAAGAATATTTCTTAATCCGAATAACATTTGGAGATTTGTTTTATTCAGCAGAAGATCCAGAATTTTTAAGAATGGTCCAGACTGAGAAGTAGATTACTAATTTTCCATTACTCTTTATTATTTTTCATTTATTTTTTTATGGAGATCTTTTCTTTATTGAGAAACTGAAGACCTGGGTACATCAAATAAAACCAATTTCTGGGGGTGGGGGGGGAATCAAAACCCACAATAGAAAAAAGAATTTAACACTGTCTGGACCATAGCAGAACCAAGAGAATATATTCTTTTAATCGAAGAATTCCAGGCACTTCATAAAAATATGGAGTGCTTCTTCAAGAATCTGCGTGTCACCCTTGCGCGGGGACGATGCTAATCTTCTCTGTATCGCTCCAATTTTGGTATATGTGCTGCCCAAGCGAGCACCCATTACCCTTCTTGAAAAGTGAATTCATAGATGGTAAAAAAAAAAAACATATTGACACAGAAAACTCAGGTTTTATTTTCAGGGCACCCACCTCCCGTGTGCTTCCACTAACAGAGGCAGGATGGATGTACAGTGTCAGGTACTTTGCCATTGTTGGTAGAAAAAATAATTGACTGCTGTGCAAAAAAGAAAAGCTAGTGAACCCACAGGGTCACTGTGCTGGCTGGCTCCCGGGGCTCGGGCTCACCGAGTGGCCACGCTGGTTACTGGTGAGAGGTGGCGCTCTTCACCAGAAGATCTCCTCAGCAAGCTGCTGCTGGGACCAGAGGCTTGCCACTTTATTACATCCCTCTAATGGGCTGCAGATGTTCCATATAAATGAATGTGGAATGCATGGATATCCAAAAAGTGATTATCAAGGCACCACATTCCCTTGGATGGCAAACTTCATTCAGCATTAGAAGAAGGAAAAGGGTAAAAAGAAGAAGAAGGAGGGCGAGAGTGGGGGAAGGGAGAGAAATCTCTAAAAACTTCCAACGCTTCCAGAAATGTTTGTGTTCTCTTGTGGGCCAGCCTTAAGCTAATTTGAAAAAGTTGGGTTCTGAATTAGTGTGACAAAGAGGTGAGGTTGGCTTAGCTTTTGATTCTGCAGGTAGAAGCGATTGGGTTTTTAGGACCTATAAGCCACAGCTTTGGGCTTCTAGGTATCAGCATTCATATGGTGCTCTAGAGAAGAAAACCAAAGGCTTGGAGACTTTCAAAGGTACAAATGGTATTCTTAGTTAAAAAAAAAAAATCTGGAGTATTGTAAACAGAAATTAAAAACTTAGGATCTAATAAACAGTGGTTCAAATTTAACACAGAACTCCCAGAAAACAAGGCACACGGATTTGGTCCCCTGGTTTGAACTGATGATATGACAGGATACATCTTTTTATGCCATTCAAGTAATTAATCTCTTGGTGGTCATGAAATAAGGGTTGGAATTTTTCCTTGGCCTTGGAGCCAAGTTGGCTGCCACTCTGTTAGCCTCCCAGGCCTGGTCAAGTATCTAGCCTATCTACCAGTATCCCTGGTTTATGCTTGAATTCCTCCAAAGACAGAGAACTCACTGTCTCTCATGACGACCTACCATGGACAGTGCTTCTTATTAGATTAGTCTACTTACATTAATATGAAATTTGCTTACCTGAAGTTATTTTTTTTAATTCATAAAACAAAACAATACTTTAAAGAGCATTCTGGAGCATCTTCCACATGTCAGACCCTGGTAGGCCTTAGGAATAAAAGGATGAGAATATTATATATAGTTTATTTGATTTTGTGAGATTTATAGTCCAATTTGACGGAACTCAATATTTTCCATCCTAATGTTCCTAAGAAATTGGTCGTACTCCTGTGGACAAGGGTTGCACTCTACAGAATCAACATCTGCTGAATTTGGTGTGTAGATGCTTTTCTAGCAAGCGAGTCTCCCTCTAGGCTAGTAATCCTCAGCATCTCAGCAGAGAAAGGGACTGTAACCTGAAGAGGTCCCTAAGTGACTCTACGTACCACCACACCTCCATTTAAGAATCACTGCTCTGATGGTTCTATATTCCTCTAAAAGTCCAATCCTCCTTCAACGGGATGTTAGATCAAATATCTGAAGAAAACTGTCATATATCTTTCTTCCCACCATAATCATTTCTTCAAACTATGATTATTGTATTCTTGAAGAAAAGATCGGCTCAAAGAAAGCTGTCGAAAGCAGCTGTAAAGGCATCCACATCTGTGCAAAGTGGAACTGAATCCATCAGGCCAAACCAACAGCTGAGGAGGAATAGAGGTGATGAGCAGGGAGAAGCCTGAGCTTTGTGCAGTGCCTTGTAGATGTGGTCTTTCCAAGAGAATATAGTCTACAGTGACCAACCAAAAGTGTGGGGAACATGGAGGAGAGCAAGAGAGGTTAATTCCCCCACCCTCTTGTCTTCCTTCGTTCAAAGATTATTTCTTGACGGGGGTTAGAAACCAGGTAGAAGAAAGCATATTCTGTACCGTGGCAAAGTTAAGATTTAGAGACAGAAGAGATACAGAGAAGCAGGGAGAGACAGAGAGGGGGGAAGAAGAAGACGAGGAAGGAAAGACAAGCTAAGATAAAAATCGTTCCAGCTTATATAGCTGGAATGTTTATAATGTAAAGAGACAGCTGCATTAAAGGATTAGACCCCACTGCCTGATTAACATCATTTGATCTTTTGCTATTGAAAAGACCCTGTGTATTTTCAAAGGCAGTGGGCTTCTTAAATAAAACCAGGAGTCTGGGTTAGCAGAAAGCTGTTAAAAAACAGCTCACTTTTCATTTAGTAATCTTTTTGTCCTACCTGCTTCACAACCTTCAGTTTTCCTCTTTGTATTATTGGGGGGTTGCACCTAAATTTGAAAATTGGGGCTCTGGGAAGTTTGATATGACAAAAATAAACATGAAAAAATCATGATGACCTAAAGTAGTCAGATCAGATTTTTTTCCCATGAATATCATCCTGGGGAGCTTCTTTTTCGGTTTTGTTCTGGGGTTTTGTTTTGTTTTTTTTTCCTTTACTCTCCATGGCCAGCAATCATCACACAGTCTCCGTGAGAGAGATTAACACATCATTATACTATACCATTTTCATGTTCTACTTGCTATCTTGTTAATCTGCTTTTCTTTTTGTAAGTTTCAAGTGAGACTGGAACTCTTACTGGTTTAGAGACTGTCAGGAAATCAGAATTTTCCATTCGCCAACTTGCTACACAATATCAGTGGGAGGAATCGGAGCATCTCCACATCCATGCTGTCATCCCAGGGTGGCCGGGCAAAGAGGTGGGAGGGCCTCTGGTCATTTGAGAGGACCAAGCAGTCGTCATAACTAGTTCAGTCTCTGTGGCCCATTCAGCTCTTGGCATTGCTGCCAAGCCAGCCAACAAAGGAGCATTGTAATCCTGACAGTTTCCCAGCATTGACCGGACAGGCGCAGACCACCAACCAGCTCCCTTCACTTCTACTGTTCACAAGTGAGACCATGAATGGAAAAAAGTCAGTGGCAAAAATCCCACATCCTGCTGAAGTTGGTGTGTAGAGGCTTTTCTAGCAAGTGAGACTCCCTCCAGGCTGGTAATCTTCATACCTGTTTTCTTTTTCTTTTTTGTTTGTTTGTTTTTAAATAGAGTTAGCTTGAATGGTAATGCATAATCCTCATTGATGCCTACCAAAAAAAATTAGGTTTGAGTTTTGAAAAATAAGCATGTGGCATGCAATAATATGGAGAATGGGCAGTGTGACAAAAATAAAATGTTATAAATGTAAAAAAGATAAATTGAGATAAGCTTCTAAGTTAAGAAGCTAGCAGTAAGAGCCACTATGATTCTTAAGAAATTGAATTTGGGGGTATAACAATATGGTTTTCAGGTAGAAAATGGAATCATTTTAACTCAATTTCACATTTTGAATATGCACCCCAAAGGCTGCTCTTTCTGTACACCAAGCCAAGGACATCTCCAACTCTGATTTTAAAAATAGCAATAAGTAAAGTAAAATGTTTAAGAGCAGTGTAAATTCAGAGTTATTTATCATGTATTTCTTACTGATTGAAAGTCAGGAAGCATTTTTAACCTGATCTTTTAATACATTTCGATGGTAAATGTGGCATAATTTTATTTATTTAAATTGACTTTTTAAAAATAAGTACAGATTATAGTAATGGGATCCCATGTTTACTTGCCTGTTATGAAATATTCAAATGACAGTGCTCCATGATGGTGGTAGAGGTGAAATGAAAATATGGTGTTTAAACTGGATCCACAGTTTTAGAAAGTAATTTAGGAGAGCTTTAGTAGTACTCTGTCCCTTTGATTCAGTTATCCTACTTCTTAAAATATATTTATGTGTTTATATATTATATACATGTATGCATAATATTATACTGAAGGCAAAATAAGAAAATAAATACAGTATTATTCATCACAGCAAAAATAAAGAACAGGAAGAAACGAAGTCCCCAAACAAAATGAGAACAATAGAGTTACTTCGTAAGTAAATTGTTAACCCTAAGTAAAGGTACACGATGAGATACTATGTAGCTATTAAAACTGATGTTTCCAAAGATTCTCTTTTGTTTTTTAAGATTTTATTTATTTATTAATTTATTGACAGAGAGAGAGAGAGAGACAGCGAGAGAGGGAACACAAGCAGTGGGAGTGGGAGAGGGAGAAGCAGGCTTCCCACCGAGCAGGGAGCCTGACGTGGGGCTCGATCCCAGGATTCCGGGATCACGACCCGAGCTGAAGGCAGACGCTTAATGACTGAGCCACCCAGGCGCCCCAAAGATTCTTAATAATATGAGAGAATGCTTATCTGAATGTTAGGTGAAAAGAGAAGCTGTAATTGAGTAACTGGTAATGTTCTTAGCATGCAAAAGTGCAATAAAACACTAACAGTCATTGCCTCGGTTGGCAGGATTATGGTTGATTTTTCACTGTACATTTCCATATTTTCAAAATTATTAACAAAGAACATATGCCATATTTTGTAATCATTAAAAATTTTATTTAAAAAAAAAAAAAACCTTTCTTCTATTGTAAAAAGACTACTAAAACTTCTAAATGTCCATCTCCTTTATGCTTAAGGGTTGTTTTACTTAAACACAATAGGAATGAATGGATACTTTAACATGTTACCAGGACCAGGAAGTCCTGCTGAGACAAATTTTGATGCTGATTAGATTGACTTTCACTTCCTTTATTTACTTCTTGAGCCACCCCTAAAAATATACAATAGGTTAAGCAACATAACCTGGGGTTATTCTTCTCCTGTGACCCCAGCATTGCCTCTGAGCTTGTTTGAGATGGCTTATCATGGAGGGAATGCCGAGTCCCACACTGTGATAGAACAATCCAGCACATCCAGCATGCTGGAAACTGTGCCCCGGGGAATAACCACCTTTACTGACAGCTGAGCTGCAAGGTGCCCCTCATGCAAAGT